TTTGAAACTGAATGATAGCTTAATAGGTGTTTGATGTTTTACTTCTGAGAAAGTGTGATGATGGCATTCAACTTGGGTTCGCTGTCACCGGCAACTATAATGGCAGTAACGAAGAAGGGAGGGGAATCAAAGGGTGTCCTTAAGGTGGTCGGTGGGGCTAGGTGTGATGGTGGTGGCGAGTTTCCCTCGTTTCTTCCAAAAGAGGTTGAAAAGATTAGAGACCCATTTGCCAGAAGTTTGGCTCAGAGGATCCAGAGGCTGCCAGTCAAGGTTTCACTCCCTTTCTTTTCATCCCCTCATTTCTTTTTGTAATGCCTATTGCATACATTGATGGGCTTGTTCACGTTTAATAGTGGGTTATTCTTCTCTTTTACTTGTTTATTTTTAGATCTTTTTCCTCAAGACACCCTCTTTCTTACTCAATGTAGCAAACAAATGAAAGTTAAACACATAAAGAAATAATTAGAACATTATTGTGGTGCTTTGGTTTCATAACCTTCCTGACCTTGTGCAATAGCAGGCTGGATTTCCTGAACATTTTATAATGAGTAGCTGCGTGCAACCTCTAATGCAGAGTGAAGAAACCAATCCAGTTGTTCTTCTCCATTGCTTTGACAGGTCAGTAGCATAAGCACCTAAGTATCCATGTCTTTGGGATTTTGCAATACAAGAATTTAGCATTCGCCTAAAATAGAAAAATTCCAGCTTTATTCCTACTGAGCCTTGTTCAATGTGTTCAGTTCCTGTTTAGAATGGCGCCGTGTATACCCTTTGCTTGAAGAGGCCGGGTTGGAGGCTTGGGCTATCGATGTCCTAGGGTGGGGCTTCTCTGATTTAGGTTCATTCACCTCTCTTGATTCTGTTTCTGGATTATCTACTTTTCAGTTTATGTTCTGTAAATACAAAGGCCTGCTTTGGTAAGGATTGATTTTTGGTTTTCCCCTATTTTTAGTTTTCCCCTCTCTTTTCCTTTATCTTGTGATACTTTAGCAGAAAAGCTCCCACCATGTAATGCGGTATCCAAGCGTTATCACCTCTATCAGGTATTCTTTTGCGCTTAAACTTTGGCACTTTTATTTTGGTGCTGGAACGTGTATTCTTGATTATTAGACCTGCCCACACAGAGTGAGACCCAAAGACAAATGTATATTTTCCAGTTGGCATTCTGGCTGGGTATTCACCACTGGTGCAGATATGCTAGAATCTCTTTTTAGCTAATTGTTAAGTGGGAAAATCCCACATCAAGTATAAAAATAAAAAGCTTATGGTTTAAATACAAGGAAGGCCACTCCATCTATTGCCAATTGGTTTTAGGTTGGATGCAAGCCTTGTGTTGAGCCCACATGCACAATTTTCACACTAATTGCCTGTAGAAAATGTCCACCTTCTGCTGTATTAATTGCCTGGTATTAATTGCTTAATTGCCTGGTATTAATTGCCTGTAGAAAATGTCCACCTTCTGCTGTATTAATTCTGTTCATTGATGAATGTTGGATGTTTAATTTCTTTTCCATTCTGATTTTGATTCTAGCTATGGAAGTCCCACATCAAAAGACCAATGATATTAGTTGGACCAAGCCTTGGTTCTTCTGTTGCAATTGATTTTACCGCAAATTATCCAGAAGCTGTAAGTCTTTCAATATTGTGAACGACTGAATGCATTATCTGGTAACTATTATTTAATGCCTCTTCAAAGTCATCTCTAGTTGATGCTACAAATCCAGGCGCTGGATAATTTAATTGTCTAAGTTGCTCATAAGAAATCTGCAAAGATTTCCCATGAATGTTTCTGGTACAGAACTATCAGTTATTCATGTTGGCTTTCACTGAATAACTGAGCTCATACTATTTATCTGAAATTTCTTCTGATACAATTGATTTTCAGTTGATTATCAGTCATGGATTTGCACCTTCATCACATAAAGCTGTTTTAATTTCATTCCTTTGCTTGCTTTTGCTCTCAATACCCCATACGAGCTGGTTTCTTGGCTATGTTTCGTATATGATAATTGTTTTTCTTTGTCTCACAGGTTGAGAAGTTGGTTTTGATCAATCCAAGTGTGTATGCCGAAGGCACAGGAAACCTTGCAAAGTTACCAAAAGTAATAGCCTATGCCGGGGTGAGTCTCTAATTTGAATAATTTAATTTGGCATTCCTCTTTCACTCATTTATTTTGCTTACCAATGAACATTGAACCTAACCCTAAGCTTCTAATCATTTTTATTGACCAGGTTTCTTTGCTGAAAGCCTTCCCGTTGCGCTTTTATGCTAATATTTTAGCCTTCAATAACATTTCCTTATCAAGGGGATTAGATTGGACTAATGTAAGTTTCATTGTGATTATCAACTGTGTGGTTTTCGCTTTGCAGTATTAATTGATATTATATCAAGTTTCCCTTTGCTGAATTGCAAGTCTTACAAGAAGTTTCTCACTTGATGAATTAGGTTGGCCGCTTGCACTGCCACATGCCTTGGTGGGAAGATGCAACTGTAAATTTTATGGTTAGTGGAGGCTACAATGTAATTTCTCAAATAAATCAGGTACCAATGCTAGTTCTGATAATCTTCTTTTTGTTCTTTTAAACTTCAGACAGGTTTTCAATGAGGGACAGAGATTATAATTTAGTTTGAGGAAAATGAGAATTTGAAAGAAAAAGGAATTTGAAATTGTTGAATCCTTTATTCAAACACAACCTTAAAGGTTAAATTTCAGGTTAATTTTTCAGAGATGAAAGAGTAGTGTACTTGTTTCTGAACTGTCCATCTAAATGTAGATATTCTTCAAGAGCATCATATAAATTAAGAAAAATGGAGAATCTAAATTTGAAAGTCAGATTTATTCACCCGGTTAACATTTCTAAATTTCATTGCTGCAGGTAAAGCAGAAAACACTAATAATCTGTGGCGAGGATGATAAGATTGTCAGCAAGAAACTGACATTGGTGAGTTTTGCGCTTTCAGGGTTTTATTTATGATGACATCTTATTTACATTATTCATGATTATTCTGGTGCTGGGACATAAAATAGAATGAAGGAAGAAGTAGTCTGAAATCTGAACTTAGTATGCACTCAAAGGCCTCAACAGATATTGGTTTGAATGTTGTTTTAAGTTGCTTGAACCAATTTTCGCAAAAGTACAGTGTATATTGTTGCAAATATCTGATGATTGTCATAATCATGTTGAAGAGGTTGTATTGCGAGCTGCTGAATGCGACTCTACGGGTAGTTCCTGATTCTGGTCACCTTCCCCATGTTGAGAAGCCTAAATGTGTTGCCAAGTTGATTGCAGATTTTGCACGAGGCCATGTAATTTGAAAGGCTCGTTAAGGTAACTTTACCGAATGGAGACTGATACTTCTAAAAGGCTTCCCCAGGCTACTGATATTGTTTCTCTACTTTTCAGTAACTTAGAAATGTAGATATTTCGTTAGAAGGAAAAAAATAAAACTTTGGATTTATAACTTTTGTTATCCCATTATTGGATGCATCTAGGGTAATATTATGTCAAACTCATATGTCTATACTGTGTCATATGATGGGCAAAATATGTATATCTTGAAAACGATTATGGGGCAATCTATAGGTACATCTCACTATTTATTATATATAGGGCAAAAGAAAAAGAAAAATGGAAAAATATATTATGAATCAATCGGTTTCTAATTTTCACATTCCTCATCTCCCATCTCCTCACCTTTCATGGTATTTGTTATCAAGTACTACAATGACTTTTACTATCTTTGTCAATGATATAAATGATTTTGTGATAATTTTCTTCTCTTATAAGTAAAAGTTTTTAAATTAGAATTGTATTGTATATGAGTGAGGTAATTTAAGGAATAAAAGAAAGTTATTTTTTATTGTGCAACTCAAAAACAAAAAAAGAAAAAAAAAAAAACTTTCACTATCTCTATGCAATTATAATAAGGTTAAAACCCCTTTTTGGTTCTTGAACTATTGTATGGACCCTCGATTTGGTTCTTGAACTAAAAAAATTCCTAATTTGGTCCCTATTGTTTACCATTTTTACCCCGATTTGGTCCTTCCGTCAAATATCAACCTATGTGTCACGTTACTTGACGGGAAAATAATGACATGTAAAAGCATTTTGACACCTAGGATGTACAGTGTGACAAAAAAATAAGATGGCAAGAAAAAAATCTTAAAAAATTTCTTATTCCTTTTTTTTTTCTTCGTTTGTTTTTCCTTTTTCCCTTTCTTCTTCCTCTCCCTTTCCTTTAACCTTCTGCAAACCCTAATTCCTAATATTAAATTTGAAGATAATACAACAAATTAATAGATTAAACTCAATAGATATTTGACCCAACGGTTGCTGGGTTCGAAACGAAACCCAGAGCCTCACTTGCAGAAACCCAGCGGCTGCTCAAACCCATCGCCTGCTGGGTTCGATTTCGAACCCAGTACCTACAAAAACCTAACATTCGAAATTGAAAAATCGAACCCAGCATCGAACCCAATACCTGCAGTAACCCAGCAACTGCGTTCTTCATCTTCATCAATCAATTTTTCATCACAATCAAACAACAAAATCCAAAAAACAAAAGCAGAAATTTTTTTAAAAAAATTTTTTGCACCTGGGTTCACAAGGAACCCAAGCGTGCTGGGTTTGTAGGAACCCAAGCGTGCTGGGTTTGTAGGAACCCAGACGCGAACCTAGCACGCTTGGGTTCCTTACGAACCCAGGCGTTGGGTTTGCAAGGAACCGAACCCAAGCGTGCTAGGTTCCACCAAACCCAGGCATGCTGGGTTCGGTGCGAACCCAGGCAAGCGTGCTGCGTGCTGGGTTTGTAGGAACCCAGACGCGAACCTAGCGCTTGGGTGGGTTCGAAGGAACCCAGGCCTGCTGGGTTCCGATGGGAAAGAGAAGAGAAAGGGGAAGGAGAAAGAGAAAGGGAAAGGGGAAGGAGATAGAAAAAAGAAAAAAAGAAAAAAGAAAAAAAATTTAAGTTTTATTTTTCATAATATTTTTTTATATTATTATTTTTTCCACATCATCACTTTTTGGTTATATTATCTTCAACGTGGATTACTATATAACATGTCATCTGGTAACCGTGAAGTAACAGGCCACGTTACACAATTTTTAACGGAATGATCAAATTGGTGTAAAAATGATAAACAGTAGGGACCAAATCAAGGGTCCATACAATAGTTTAGGGATCAAAAAGGAGTTTTAACCTTATAATAATAATTAATACCTCATAATATCATACATTTAGATGGTATTTTATTTTTATTTATTCTTATTTAATAACTGATTATCTTTTATATTATAAATTATATCACTCAACTACCCATAATATGGCTTGTTATTGTATAGAAGAGAAATGAAAAGATTAAAAAAAAAAAAATTAACAATTTCTTCATGGTGTCTTTGCCTCCATCTCTCTTTCTATTTCACCCTTCATCTTTTACTTCTTTTCTTTGTCATTTTTCTTAAAACTTTAACTGGTCAACTATCATTGTAACTCAATTGATATAACTTGATATAACCTTTTTTTTTTTTTTTTGAGAAGAATGTCAACATTTATAAGTTAAAATTTAAATTTTAACAATTTTATTTTTAATTTTTCAATTTTGCTAGTTAATTTTTTTTTTGACTGACTTTTTCAGGGCCAAATTGTATCTCGGAAAATTAGGTGAGGATGCATGGGACATGGACCCGTACAATCAAAGGTTTAGATTTTCGACCGATGATTGGACCGCAAGTTTGGCCTTGGATGAGTATATTTTAATTTTTTTTTGTAATTTTAGAGGTACACACATTGATTCTTAGATTGATTTAATGCTTTTAATGAATTCAACCGTTTTTGTACGAAGAATCTCCACTACTCCATTTGATCAATGAATTCGGTACCCAATTGAGCTAATCTATGACTGGACGATGAACGGTCTTAATTAAATCCTAACCAAAAACAATATTGTTAGAAAAAAAAATAAAAATTAAGATGTTTTAATATTAAAATTTTATTATAATTGTCAAATAAATAGATTCTTGATTTTTTTTTTTTGACCAGGTAAATGGTTAGGAAGTTAGTAGAGTTAGTTTGTTAGCAGCTGGAATTTTTTCAGGAAAGTGAACGTGCAAGTTGGAGGAGTTCTCGACGATAGCAGAACTCGAAACCTGACTTCCACCTCACCCAAACCCTAAAGCTTGGGGGCCAACCAATTGGGCCACAGGCCAGTTGGCAAATAGATTCTTGATTGAAATCCATAAAACTAATAACTATGATGAATGTACTCAACATTAACTTCCAAATTTTCCACGTCCCCTTATCGGAATGTTGGTATTTTGCAAAATATCTCTCATTAGCCCCAATTCTGTAAGTTGCTTTTTTTTTTTAAGCGAAATTAATTTTTGAGAAAAAGGTGAAAATCAAGTTCTTTACGTGTTAAAAATATTATTAAAATTGACCATAAAATTGTTTAAATATTACAGTATTGACATTTTAATTACAATAGTGAAAGTCAAGATTGTTTATATTATCTTTTTATGAATTTTTTAAATTTATGTGTTTTTTATATTAATTTATATAAACAATATTAAACTTAACATTAGTTTTAATACAATTACTATTTAATTAACACCAAAAATTATAAACCAGTGGTTAAGTACGCCTTAATATTTTAATGATGATCAACGTTCAAGTAATGGTAAGCACTTAATCCTTCAGATCTAATAACATTAATCATATTAAATAAGTACATTTTTTATTTTTTGAGTGAGTTCGATCTTATTTCACATCAAATTATTCAAAAAAAGAAAGAAGTAATGATACTGTAATATTAAAATTCTTTAGCTCTCTATCTTAAATTGTACTTATTTTAAAAAAAATTACTATCAAATTTAAATTTAATTAGATAATTATTAAAATTAATATTCATTTTTATTTTTGATATCAAATAATATAAAAATTATAATAAACATATTTTTAACTTATACAATCTATCTTAAAGAGATAGATTAAAAAACCACTTTATTTATTCTTATTATGTTCTTACGTCGGACACTGACGTGTTAATTTTGAGGAAAAAATAAAAATAAAAAGATGGGTTTGTTGAGGAAAATATAAAAAATAAAAACGCAGCGTCTTGACGGTCATAGTTCGCTAAAACCCTAGCTTCCTCCCTTTTCAGTTGTCTGAAACTTACTAAACCCTAGCGAAGCCAAACTTTTGTTCATTTCTCTCCCGCTTGCGACAATCAGAAAAAAGAGAAGAAAAAGATGGATTTTGACATGGAAAGAGAAGAAGAATCATCAAGGAGGATTCAAGTGAGATTCGTGACGAAGCTGAAAGCTCCGTTTAAAGTTCCCACAACCGCCATTGCCATCCCCGTTAATCTCACTCGTCTCGGCCTCTCCTCCATCGTCAACAGCCTCCTCCAGGCCGGTAAGCACAGATAAAACTCTTTCTCGTGGCAGCTGGGTGTCTTTTGGATTCTTAAGATGAATAAAGTTTACTCTTTTTTGGAAATATGCATGCTTTTGTTTTGTGGGTTTTTTTGTTTACGAATGGTTGAGATTTTTTGCCATGGTTAAGTTGGGAGATTGGTGTGGTTATGAGCAGGGGACCCTGATTGGAAAAAGGAGCCATTGGATTTTCTAATAGATGGCGAGCTGGTTCGGTTGTCACTTGAGCAGTTTCTGCTTGCTAAGGGCATCTCTGCGGTACTTAGTTTTTTCAACTTTTTAATCTATGAAGCCATCCATGTCAAAAGTTTATGTATTTGAATAAAGTTGAGAAGATTTAGGCGGCCTGTTTAGCTGGCGTAAAAAAACATTGGTTCTTTCAATTTGATGCTTGACTTTGTTCTCTGATAAATTGCAGGAGAAAACTCTGGAAATTGAATATGTAAGAGCTGTGGCCCCAAGGAAAGAGGAAGAGCCTTGCCCACATGATGATTGGGTCAGTGCGGTAGATGGTTCCAGTCCTAGGTAAGCAAGTTGCTATATCAGTTTTTTTTGTGGTCATTTCTCGACTTAAGTTTTGGTTTTTATATTTCCTGATGACATGATCCTAGGTTGAGATGTATTTATAAGAAGTTCACTAATTTGTATCATTTATCAGGTTCATTTTGACTGGTTGCTATGATGGTTTGGGAAGGTAAATACTGTAATAAGTTAGTTTCTGCTTTTCTTGAACCTTGACATTTCTTTACATTGTCACTGTTGTTTTTTCCTCCTTTTTTTCTTTTAAAAAAAAATTAGTATTGTATTTGTTTAATTCCCCTTTATTTTTTTATTTTCCCCTTTATTTTATTCTTTTTCCTTTTAAAAATGATTAGGGTATGGAGAGAAGCTGGATTGTGTACACATATACTCGAAGGACATTCAGATGCAATTTCTTCTGTTTGTATCATCAACCCAGAAGGTATGGTCAAGTGTTGTTTACCTTTCATATTTTAGTATTAGTTGGATAACCATTTTTATACTGATAGTATTGAGAGAGAGGACTACTGAAAGTAGACTTATGTGTCATCCATTCTATTCTGGCCAACTTACTGAAAGTTATTTGTTACTCTGCTTTGC